ATTCCATTTAAAGTGATGCTAATTATCGACAACGCTCCAGGTCATCCTTCTGCAACTTTAACTAGTTTTGACCCACGCGTAAAAGTTGAATTTTTGCCACCTAATACAACCAGTTTACTTCAGCCGATGGATCAGGGAAAAATTAAAACATTCAAGGCTTATTATACCAGACGATTATTTCCATATATCCATGAAATTATAAGAAAAAACGATAAGCTCTCTGTTAAAGACTTTTGGAAACAATTCAACGTGTTAGATGCAGTGATACTCATTGGACAATCTTGGAATGAAGTTTCACAAAAAACGTTTAATGCTGTCTGGAAAAACTGTGTCCTTTTTTTTTTCATCACTGACACTGAAATGAAATTGATTCCACAGCACGATGAAGTTGGTAATGTTATTAAAGAAGTTGTTGATATCGCCCAGCCAATAAATTTAGAAGTTGATAGTGACTGTCGTTGAAGAAGTCTAGAATTCCCACAATCAGGAGCTCACAATAGATGACCTCATAGAAATACACGAGGAAAAACAAGACATTGAAGAGCATGAATGTTTGGATCCAGTTTAATCTTAGGATTAAATGACGATTGGAGACTTGACTGAAGGCCTCAGTTTAATTGAAAAGGGATTAAACATTTTAGAAAATATAGACCACAATGAAGAGGGCATTTCTTCTACCAAACAAGACTGCCTTTTCCAAGGCAATGTTAAATAGGAGACAAGCCAGGGCATTCCCTTGTCTGAGTCCATCCTTTATCTCAAAGGATCGAGAATTTTCTCCCTATATCCTAACGCTGGTTTTTAGGTTAGACATTGTCATTCTCGTTAATCGGATAAGTTTTTCTGGTATACCAAACACACGCATTGATTAGTATAGTATTGTTCTCTAAAGTCGAGGAATAGGTGATGGGTTTCAATGTTAAATTCTAATGTTTTCTCGAGGATATATCTTATTGAATGAATCTGGTCAATTGTTGATTTTTTTGGAGTAAATCCTGATTGGTATTTTCCAACTATGCTTACGTAAACTTGTAGTCTTTTGTAGAGAATATTTGCTACTATGTTGTAAGCAGTTGTTTACAGAATTATACCTCTGTAGTTGTCACAATGGAGCTGATCGCATTTTTTATGTAACGGGCATATCACGCCTTGAGACCATTCATAGGGCATGGACTCATTTTGAACTAGAGTTATATACTCTAAATTGCACAAGAAATTTAAAATTGTTACAATAAACTTTAAAGAAATTTTAAAAAATCCTTAAGTTAATCGTAAAAGTTCTTTCTATTTACAACTGTGTATTGAAAAATTGGTCAAATAGAGATATTGTATGAAGTAGTGCTTGAATTGAAATTAAAAATGAATTTGTTACGGATCTAAGGTAATTTATGGTTTAATTTTAAAATAGGAGAATTGCCAAAGCATAATAACCGAAGGTTGTTATCAAAAAATGAAAATTATAGTCTAGTAAAGGACATGAGTTTTAAATTATTGTAACTTCACACATGCATTCTCCTTAGATATTGTATTCTTCAATTAAAATTCGTTCATCTGAATTAGCACTACTAATTCATCCAAATTCTGACTACTAAACGTTTTTTTTTGCGAGCCGAAATCAGGTGAAGGAAAAAGGAGCAGCTAAAAGTCCAAATTCTAAACTAAACAGGGCGATATCGAAAAATGCTGGGTTCGTTCAAGTCACCTTCGAGGTCTGCTCGGAGACAGAAGGTAGCCAGTACGACCAGGAAGTGAGAAAAACAAACAAGAAGAAAGAGATAAGTCAGCGATTCAGATTTTCTTCTTGTAGTGTCTATCCGTTTCGTATGTCGGCGACCATCATGGCAATCTGTACCTTGCAACCTGCTGATCTGAAAATATTTGTGGTTGGTGTGTTGAACCACATACGTAGATTTTTCAGCCACTAATCCTTCGCCTTTCTTCTTCTTGTTCTACGGCACTATAGCCCAAATTGAGCCGTGGCCTCCTTCCTTTTTTGCCTCCACCCTTGCTTATCTGTGGCTGATCTTCTCCATACACGGACTCCTTAAGGACTTGTGCGTCGCTGTTTACTGTGCCTTCTCAGCGCTTTCTGGGCTTTCCAACCGGTCTCTTTCCCTGCATTCTAGCATCCAGTGCTCTTTTTGGTAGCCTATCCTCCCCCATTCTTATCACATGTCCGGCCCATTGCAATATTTGTATTCTAATGAAGTCTGAAAGTGGTGCTTTCTTATAAAGTTGATAAAGCTCGTTGTTGTATCGACTTCTGAAGATTGCGTTTTCCCTCACAGGTCCTAGTATTCTCCTCAGTACTTTCTTTACGAATGTATCGAGTTTGCTTTTCGATGTTTTTTTCAGGACTCTTGCTTCACTGCCATAGTATGCTATTGGTCGAATTAAGGTTTTATAGATTCTTATCTTTGTATTTCGGTGGATATTTTTAGACTGAAATATATAGGAGAGAGCCAAATAAGCTCTGTTTGCCTGCGTTATTCTCTTCCGCATTTCTCCATCTTCTGATCCGTCGGCATATATTTCTACTCCCAGGTAAACTTTCCAACCATTTCAATGTCATCTTCATGTATAATGTTTTGTGGGACATATTTCTTCTCGTCTGTATCATTATTTTTGTTTTTTCTATGTTAATTTCTAGACCTAGCATTTTTGTTTGCGTTTTCAACTCTGCGTATGTTTCCTGTGCTTCTGATGATGTTCTACTCATAATATTATTATCATCGGCATAAGCGGCCAGTTAAACCGTTCGGTTGGTCACAGTTTGCATTTGCCTAGCAGCATACCAGAGTGCCAGATTAAGCAAAGTTGAGGCCATCCAATCTCCCTGCTTTAATCCCTGTGAAATTTTAAAATGTCTTGAAATGTTTTGAGAAAGTCTGTTCGGTGGTTTTGTATTCGTACACATGCCCTTCGCCTTTCTGGACCTCGTTTTATTTCTACTTCTGCTTGTAGAATTAGAACGATTCAGATAGTGAAGGAAAAAACAGCTAGAAGAAAATAAAATGGATATGTCAATGGTCATGGAGGAAAATATGACAGCTATGAGGAAGCAAATTAAAAAATAACAAGAAACAATCGATGGTCAAGGAAAAATCGAAAACTAATATAAAATATACTACTACTTAAAAGAAAAGAAAAACTGGACGAGTAAAAGATGGTATTCGAAGAGATAGACCAAAAAATGTTATAAATTACAATACAACTTTCGTTTTACTGCAGAGTATTGTCGAAGATCCACATACAAAATCCTCACGAAGAGCTGTACCAATATTATGATGTAGGTCGTTCTTCAGTCTTCCATGTATTAGATAAGAATTCATTTAAACCCTACAAAATCCGGTTGGTGGGAGAATTTAATGAAGAAGTCTACGACGGTAAATTACATAGTGAGGTAATGATGAATAAAATTGGAACCGATGAGAACTTCTCTAACAAGATATGTTTTTCCAAAGAAGCAATATTTACACTATGTGGGAATGTAAATCGCCAAAATTTAAGGTATTGGAGTGAGGTAAATCCAGGAAGGAAATTCAAAAGCGATAATTATGAAATGCTACTTAGAAATGAAATTGTACCTTCCCCTAAAAACAAGTATGGAACCAATTTTAATGACATATGGTTTCAGCAAGACGGAGGTCCAGTTTATTTTGTTGTAAATGTTGGGCTTTATTTAGATCAGACATTTCCCGAACGATGGATTGGTAGATTAAATTATTAGATGCTCGGTCAATAGCGTACTCTTTAGCAAGCATGTGGCTAGGAACGTCAATTTCACAAAACTTGGTTTATAAAACTACTATTCTACTTGATTTACAGAAAATTTATTGACCAATTAATTTAAATTAATAAATGAATTATACAATAAACACAATGAAATTAATTACATTATTTTACGATGTACTTTCTCAACTTAACTAAAATTAAAACACTATGAGAATTTAATAAACAATATTGAAAATTTTATGGAGTAACCTTACGTTTGTAAGTTGTTTTGCTTGTTTTTTACAAAGTTTTTCATCTTACTTATATTATATTTACCGTAAAAATAATTTTAAACTTTGTAGCATTTCCGAAAGAAACAAATAAATTTTGTGAAAGCTAGATACTAACATAGTTTCCCTTATCCGTTTCTTTAAACTAATGATTACTACTTTAAAATCAGTCCACTGGACTCAGAGATAAAGCTATTCAAACATAGGGTAAAAGGGCCCAGGCTCAATTTTTAGACCGTCAAAAAAAAATTAATGACCCGAATCAAGAAATTCGATAAATTAGATAAATTAACATTGAATCTACTAAACGGATTATAATTTACCAATGCTCGTTTGAAAGGTATTCATATTTTTTTTAATTTTCCTGCTTTTACAATTTTTCCCGTTTGGTACAATTTTGAGAATTAATTGAAAATCATAAAATTTTGTTTTCTTTTCCTTCTTCTTGAACTATAAAATAAATCTTTTGCAGTTTTGTAAATTAAATCATCAAAAATTTAACAATATAACAAAAAAAATAGATTATTTGAGTTAAAATCGGTCTACTGGTCTCAGAGATATAGCTCTTCAAATATAAGGTAAAACGGGCTGCTTTTAACCCTTTCTAGGGGCATATCTCAGACACAGGGGAACCTAGAAAGCTGGAAATATAGCTATAGGCTACTTTTTACCTTTTTAAGGTAAAATGATTTGGTAAAAATCGACGAACCCTGATGCCTTAAGTTTAATAAAGATTAATATACATAATACTACTAAATCAGTAAAATAAATTCTAGAGGGGAATGGTATTTCTGTCTTGGACTGGCCCGGAAATGCCCTTGATCTTAATCCCATAGAAAATGTTTAGGAGATTCTAAAACGAGCAATTTCCAATGAAAAAGTCATTACATAATATATATGATATTTATGATACCTATGATTTTCTGGGTTTACCTACGCATTGGATAACTTCGGTTTTTAAAACAATAATATTAATTCAGAAATATTATGGCTTACCTCATTGCTTGAAAAACCAAAATCTCTCTCAAGGGAAAGTTGAGCTGGTGCAGTATAGGCAGTGGAGTATCCTATGATTAAAGAAACCCATGATACAGCAATTGCAGCAAATAACTGAAAAAGATAATTAACATGATTTTCAAGTAAATAACCTAGATAAATCAATAAAAGTTGTTAGTAGCTCAGTAAAAGTTCTAACGTAGTAGCAGTCGATCAAAATCGATTATTTAATTAAATATCCTAAATGATAAATGAAGTGAATAATTAATTATTATAATTAAATATTAATTATTCACATCCAGATGGCAGTAAAGTGAGCCTTTGCAATTCGGGGATTCCATTGTTACATGATGTCCCTATTACATACATAATTGCGAATTTCTCATTGAAAGGTATAACCTGTTATTGTTTTAAAATAATTTTTCTCTTAGCGGTGGTTCGTTTTATAATAAGTTGTTTAAAATTTTGCTAATTCCAAGTTGGAGAGTAATTAAACAGCACGGTTTTCGGATTGAAATATTTCAAATGAGTGTCGTAAAGTTTTATTTTTCATTAGAAGAGGTTTTTACCATCTCAATATCGTAAGTCTATTTTTTTTTTATTTTTTTAAAGATTTTATTTGGCCCAATTGAGAAAAAACAAATTTCAAAGAATATCAATTTCGTTTAAAACAAAAATTGCTTTAGATCGCTTAGAAAAAGGAGAAGGATCTACGGCAATTGGAAAACATTTTAATTTAGGCCAATCAACTGTAAGAGCAATTAAGAAGAATGAAGTTACTATAAGAAAATCTATAATTTTTGCAAAATTAATCGCCAAATTTTCATCTTACTCAAGGGATGTATTATTAGAAAGAACGGAAATAGCCATCGCAATTTGAATTGAGGAACTAATTCAAAAAAGAGTTCCCAAGCTGGTAAAAAATTTTCAGCAAGCAAAGGTTGGCTAATTGGGTTTATAAAAAGAAATGTATTTTATAATATCAAAATTACAGGAGAGAGTGCTACAGCAAATAAAGCAGCAGATAAAATATTTCCACAGGAGCTAGCGAAAATGATTGAAGATGGGGATTACTGTGCAGATCAAGTATTTAACGCTAATAAAACAGGACTGTATTGCAAAAAAATACCTAACCGTACTGACATCGCAAAGGATGAAAAAACTGCAAGTGGACATAAAGCAAGTTAAGATCGAGTAATATTATTACATACTTTGTAGCAATACATCAGGCGATAGGATGTTGAAACCACTCTTAATAAATAAATCTCTTAGACCACGTGCTTCAAAAGGCAAATATTTAGTTTACAAGTAAAACAAAAAAGCAGTTGTGGTTAGAAAATTAATAGAAAAACATTATGATTTAAACTGGAAGAGTATTGAAAAATTAAGCTAATTTAAGGCTGTTTTATCGGTGCACCAAAATTTTTTCTCTGTTATTTACCGACGAAATGTCTCGAAATTTGGACATGTTATACGAAATTATGTTGCCTTTAAACTGATGGTTTTACTTTTTTTATTTTTTTGAATTTTCTGTTGAAAAATTTGATTATACTGTTTAACGTTCTATTATAACCAAACTTTTCACGCCCATCAGTTGAAAGAGTTTTTTTTTCTGTAATCGTTGATTCTTTTTTCACCTTTCTGTGTCCAGTAATAATCGAGAAAAGCGTATTCAAACTTTAAAGAAAATTGCTAAAAAATACTGAAATCTAATAGTGAAACGTGTTCCTCATCATTGTCGCTGAGCTTGATCGTTATCGCATTAGTGACGTCAAATCACATGAGCGTACGGTACGGTCTTATTTTTATTTCTCTATGGGTACGGTCAGTTAGTTCGCTTGAATTAGAATCCATTTTAGTTCTTTCATTCTTGTATTTTCTTTATCAACTTGCTTAGTTTTTACAGTTTACAGTATTCTTATTTATTTTGAAAACATTGAAATTATTTAGTTTACGTGTATGTTAAGTACCTAATATATTATTAGTTTAGTGGTATAAGTTAAAAGTTCTTTAGTTTACGCGTATTTTTAAGTATTACATTAGGTTAGTGATACAAGTTATAAGAGACAAGATAAAAAATGAGTCCCAGTAAACGTCCTATGTCAAGGAAAAGGAGAGCAATTACACTGCTTTAGTATTTATTATTTATATTACAACCGTTTTTAAAAGCTTTTATTTAATTTTATATATATATATATATATATATATATATATATATATATATATATATATATACATATATATATATACATATATATCTATTCAAGGTTTGAATAATCATTCTCCATTTTCATGCAACTTTTCTAATATGGAGATTATCAAAGAAAAAATGGACGGATTGATAAGTACATTGACTTTTAAATGTCAAATGTGGAATATTGAAAAGGAGATAGCAACATAGGATTCTGGTAACAATTCACTGAACTTGAATGGTTCTGGTTATTCAGACATACAGCAGCAGCACGCTGCATTAAATATACCTGTGATTTCCTACAGGCAGTATGCAAAACATACGGAAACAGTTGCAGATATCATCGGCCAAACACTTTGTGATTCCTTAGAAGAAGCTGGACGGGAGGATTTAGCTTTAGCCAAAGAAATTGGTGAAGTAGATTCCGACGGAAATGAGTTAATAACCGTTATAGCTGATGGTGCTTGGTCAAAAAGATCGTATAAAGTAAACTACGATGCTTCTTCAGGTGTAGTACCTGACGTTGTAAAATTTATTAAATTAGTACGCCTTTGATGGATAGGACATGTAATTAGGTGAGATGAAGATGAAACGATCAGAAAAATTTTCGACCGAAGAGGACCAGTGGGAAGACGATCCAGAGGAAGACCAAAACTTAGGTATCAAGATAACATAGAGGATGATCTAAAATCCATCGGAGTTAAAGCATGGAGAAAGTTGCCAGAGGCAGGGGCGAATGGAAGATTGTTCTGAAGAAGCCTTTGGCTCATGACGAGCTGAAATGCCACTGATATGATGAAATAACTATCCACGATTTGTGTTTTATTCATCAATTGGATACTTTTCTTATGTAACTGCAACCTATAAATATGTTAAAATAATGTATATTCCATTCAGAGAACTTTTTCCTCGCAGTGCGTCGCCTCGAAATACTTGCCAGATAAATACATTTACTATTATGATGGTTTCGCAGGTACCAATTTTTTATAGATAAATAAAAATAATTTTTGTTTAATTTTTACTACGCTAATATCAGTTTTCTCTAACAAATATTAACAAAATATTAATTATATATTAATATTAATATAACAAAATTTAAATTTATTATAAATAAACACCATGGTGTTTTTTGCAGTCACGTTTCACAAATTTTTATTTAATACTATGTTTAGCTAAGACGTATAAATTAAAAATGTGATTAATTCTTTTTAAAACATTATCTACGATAATTAATCTAAAAAAAAGTATTCCGACAAAACTAATTTGAATGGAGAATAATGCATTTATTTTAAACAACCCGTGGGCCGGCGCCACTGAATAAACATAAAAACTATTAGGAAGTCACGTAGGGTCTGACATAGCAGTGTAGAAAAGTAAGTGATACGCCCACTTCAAATCGCAGTATGCTATAACTGCGAAAACAGCATTAGAACGAGACAACTTAGGAAAACATCCGCCCTGAGACAAAATTCATAAATAATTAGTTTACTTTCAACAATACTAGTAAAATAAACAGGTTCCCTGTTTTCCTGTTTATCGACATTATGAATAAATATAAACAGTCACAAATCCGAATAGAAATATGGGCCAATTTTATCCTACAATAATTATTTTCCTTTTTCCTCTATTCCCCCATTTGTGAATCTTTTTTGTTTTTGTCTTGGTTTTCATATCCCTACTTTTTCAAGGCAAGTAATGTCTTTTTTATGAAATTTTTTTATATACGCTTTTCTGTGGAACGTATCCACCGCATAAAACGAGACCTTACTGTATACTCATAATGGGAAAAGGGCGAAGAAGAAATATATCGACACTTTAGAGGTAAAACTCATTAAGTGACATATTGGGTAAAAATGAGTTATTTCACTAAGTACACATAAGTTTTGATGTTCTACAAGGTAAATAATTCAGTAAGTTGGTACGCTATCATAGTTACTATTTTTTAGTTTAAAATTTTTAGTTTAAAATCAGTAATTAAGTACAGTTTTACAAAAACATACAAGAGGAAAAATTCAGTAAACACTTATAGAGTTTTACTTCTAATGTGTTTAAATTTCGGGTATGCAGACTACTGAGAAGCAAAACTCATTAACTTGTACACAATTTTAATTCTATGCATTCTGTGATTTTTGTGTCACTTACTGAATTGTTACATTTATGACGGCGTATTGTTTATGGCGAGTTTGTAAGTTTTCATAGTTTTTTGTGTTTGAAGTTGAGAAAATTCAAGATTAAAAATGACTCTCAAGTGGAGAATGAGAATGAAGGTCTAGCACGGAATGACAAACAGATTGACCAGCTGGTTGTACAAGCCGATATGAGTACTAAATATTGTAATATTTTTATTTTATGCTAGCCTGCGCTATGTCGCACATGAATTTACCAATAATAATTAATTGCAGTACCACATGTTTGTGATTAATTAATCTGTTGTTCACAGGTTCATCAGATTTCAGAATCTAGATTTCGAAATAAATAGAGTGACCCACAAGTGGATATTAACGAAGAAGGTGTTCTTCACTACCATTGGTATCGTACTCTAGCAGTAAAGATTTTTCTTACGATGATTCAATTACTTATTATCTGCAACATGGAAAAAATAGGTCCATTGCAGATTTAACTTCAATTACAGATTCAGATGAACAGTCACTAGAAGCCACTACTGCGAAAGCTCCTACTCGGTGGAGGAAAAGAAATTCAGAAAATTGGAAAGTAAACACGACGAAAAAACAGCGATCTATGTGTTTGCCTTATAAGAACAAAATGAAACCATGTGATGCTAAACGTCGAAAAGATGCTGCTGTTGAAGGTATGAACAATACGAGCACCTATCAAGGCATTGGCAGACGCGCTAAAAAGACACCTGGGAATAAAGCTTCTGATGAGCAAGTTGCAGTAGTTAAAATCCGCATTTAAAGTTTTC